ATGCATTCCCAGGAACTGGTAAGACTCATGGAACAGACTCGGGGTAGGTGGGAAAAGCCCCTGCAGGAGATCAATCACCTTTTGCAGCTCCAGTGAGGTTGTTGGAATGGACCTAACAAGCAGGGAAATGGGGGCGATTGAGGCAGTTTTCCAAGTGATCACATGAGAGCCAGAGGAAAGGGAAATATTGCATTTTCCTCATAAGAAGTAATGTTCTTTTCACAGCCAGGCTTAGACCGAGTTGGTCCTGTTCCTTAGCATTTTGTCTCTTTCATTTGCACCGCACATTTTAAGAACTGGATAACAAAGTGTTTATAGAAATTAATGGAAATGTATAGAAATTAAAAGAAGTTGGATAGCTGTTACAATCTAAAAATTTCTGGTAGCTGGACCAGCTGATGTAACTTTTTTTTAAGCTTGGACCAGATCTCTGGAAACCTTGTCACATAGTTAATAACACTGACCATAACTTGGTTTACTGAAGGACCACTGGGTACCTCAGTGTGTATGTATTTGACCATTTTTGTTGCAATTACAGGCTGTGTTCAGACCACATGCCCCTTGCTCGTGCTCTCCAAGCCAAAAAAGTCACCCAAGAGTTACTGTCGGTGGTGGGATCCCAGAAGCTGCTCAAGCAGGGAGCGCCTGGCTGTAGGGATGAAATATGAGATGCAGCAGAGAAGAGAGGGAAATAGGAAGAAAAGGAGTGGGGATAAAGGGCATGCTCTAATTTCTGAGGCACTCAATCTTTGCACACACAGCAGAGACCACCAGCAACCAAATGAGCAGAGAGATTAGAACATATCAAACAGAGCTTCTTTACAAAAGTACTGGCTGGCTTCCTAGCAACTGTGGCATTCACATTTTCTGAAAAATCCCTTCATCCAGGATTTTTCTCCTGGGAAGCTGAGAAGCCTCAGAGAAATATGAAAACAATAATTATCTCATTTGCTTCTCCTGTGTTTTGTTCATGTGGAATGTGTTTGGAGATTGTCTACCCACAGGTGATTGTTCCATTGGATTCTGGTGTGGGTTGTTTCACTTAATGGCCAATTGGGGCCAAGCTGTGTTGGGACTCTGGGGAGAGTCACGAGTTTTCATGATTTTCTTGTTAACATTCTGCAAGTATCCTTTCTGTATTTTTAGTATAATTTAGTATAGCATTAATATAATATAGTACCATAAAATAATAAATTAGCCTTCTGAGAACATGGAGTCAGATTCATCATTCCTTCTTTCGTCTGGGGGCAATGCAAATACAATAAGCAACAGCCACTCTCTCTTACTCTTTTACACTTCTACACAGTCTCCCCTCTCCTGGCCCTGCAGAGCTGCCAGCCTGCTCAGGCTAAGCCCACGAGCACAAATACCAGGCCAAAGTTGCTCAGGCAGCAGCTGCTCCATCACCAAACCCACAAACTGAGCTCCAACCACACCAAATACTGAGAGTCTGCAATGTTGTGGGGAAATTAAAGAGGATGGACCTTCTGTTCTTTCAAGCAATTCCTTCTGAAGACAACCTTTAAGGAGAGCAGACTGTTCCCCTGGCGCTCTCAAACAGCCATTTCACTCTCACCAGCCACTAGAGACTGGGTAGAAAATAATGCACATGGACCAGAGAGATCTGATGGGACTGTAGTGAGGCTTTTGAGGAATGTAAGGAACAGCACAAAAACTCCCCAAAAGCATGAGACCTCTGTGGTGCTGGTATATCCTTTTGCCACTGATGGGTGAAAAGCATTCTACCTTCTTATTTTATGTTTTATTTTAACATTTCCTTTTCCAGCCTCCACTGAGGGGTGAACTCACCCTTGCAGCTGCTCCTGCACTGTCCTAAAGCCACAACCATAGAAAATCTGCATCTTCCCACCCTGAGCAAACACACAGCAAGAATGCTACTGTTTGTGTGTCCCATTTATTAGAATCAGGCAGCCTTTACAGCAAATAAACTCCTGCCAGCTGAGATGTGCCAGTAAGGATTGCCTTAGGGCTTCTCCTCAGGGAAGAGACAACTCTTGTAAGGCTCATAAGGCTGGCTTCTGCTCTCCAGTGGATTGGTACTTCTCAAAGTTTGATGGAAGCAACCAGCAAGCAGTGACACTGGTTGCCATGGCTTCATGGAAGGGTTTTTTGCTTATTTTTGTTGTTAAAACCCAGGATTTGTTCCTTGGTTTCTTCAGAAGAAACATCTCTTTAAATCTGGAATTCTTATTTGGAACCTGAAGAATTTACATAATCTCACCTCTGCCATTGCATAGGGAATAATACTTAGTCAGTAGAGACTTTTAATTACCTTTTTTCTTTACCTTTTTTCCCTAGACAGGAGGTCCACAAAATCTGAGAGGATACTTCCATGCAGCTAAGCCTATAAAAGGCTCAAGGAAACTTGAGGTGATGACAAGAAAATTATTTCATCATCATTCAGGATCTTTTCTTTGTTATTTTAAACACACCCATGCTAGGGAGTAAGTTTTGCCTGTGACTTCTGGACCTGTATCCACAGCTCAGTTGAGGCAGGCTCAATTGAGAAGTGTGTGTGAGATTTTTAATGCAAAAGGCTGAGGCAGTTTAAGAAGAAAAAGGAATGAATAAAGCCCTCTGTTTTCCTGCCAGAAATGCTTTTCTTTTTTTCTTTTTTTTTCCCCACTCATTGATGCTTCCAAGCGAAGGGGAAAAGGAGTTCCCAGTCAGATGAACACAAGTGTGTTCATCTTTTCTCATGCCTGAGTTCTTCTTGAGCCAAAGCTTGAATGATTGGTTACAAGGGCTGCCCCAGTGCTTCCCATGGAAAAACGGCCAGAGCCAGACATTGTTGTATACAATATTGACTGCTCACTTCTGCTGCAAACAACAACTGCTGGCAAATAAAGCAAGGCCTTTGCCCTGCTGTTTGTAAACAATCTGGATGACAAGTCAACATGGAGATGACACACAGATCTGTCTTTCATTTCCCTCACACCAGATGCTGATCTGTCTTTGGGTTTTCACTGCAAAACTCAAATCAGGACTCGGATAAGGCTTAAATGACTGAAGTTTAACCTAAACAAGACTCAGTTGTCATTTGTGGAGGGAGGGAAGAGCTCTGAGTGTGCAGAAGAATATGTCATTGCTCAGTACTCAAATTTTATCCTAGGTTTCTAAGCAATTCAAAAATTAAGACAGTGCTTGGAACCTCTCAAGGTACTGCAGATTTGGTTGGGTTGACACACAGTTCAAGGGAGTGAAGGTTCAGTTACTGCTGAAGGAGTTGTGCCTCTAAAACATCTTTAGAGCAGAATAGTCCCAGCAGATGTGGAAAAGAAACCTGATTTCCTCCTCAGAAAATGCCTGCACACACTATTTGTGACAACTGAACTCCTTATCACAACAGGGAATGAATCTTCTTTTCCCTCTGAAGCCCCCAAAAATAAGTGCTAGAGCTTCCAGCTTGAAAAAAAAATCTGCTTTCCCAAAAGGCACAATATAGAGTTCTGATGTTTTTCTTTAAATATTCATGGTGATTAAAATTGAACTTTATTAGTTGCATTAATTCCTTTTAGGATTGTGATGTTGTTTAATTAAAATGAGTGTGTTAGCAAAAAGTGAAGGACGTCCTTAAACTGAATAGTGATTATTACATGAAATTGAACTCCTTTTTCTTAATTTTTTTTCCATTTCTTAGGCAATGTGACATCATTCTTCCAAAGGGTGGGGCTGTGGTTTTTTTTTTTTATTAATATATACAGATCTAGTTCTGATTTTCTCACATTTTTGTGTCACTCCTGGAACAGCAAATTCTTACTTACAGAATTACAGGATCTTTTGACAAATATTGGTGCTATTTCCAGCCTTATACCAGAAGAGAAAAGTGAGGTACATGCAGGTACAATGACTCATGCAATATCAGCCAAGAGTCTGATGAAAAAGTTGTGGAAAGAACCTGCCATGGTGAGACCCAGGTCAAAGCCCTGCCAGTGAGCTCCCACTAACAGGGATTTTTGAAAGGAATAATTAAGCATGGTAAGGAAAAATTAATCAGCCTGAGCTGGATTGTTTAGCTCTTCATTAATTCCCTCAACCGTTCCCTCTCCTACAAAATCAAAACCAAACCCAAATGTCAGACTGGACTGGTACCAGCTATGATGAGGAGACTGGAATAGGGAGGGAAGCATTTAAATGCTCTATTTTTTAGCAGGCTCTGGTTCCTTTAAATGTCTGTGAATCTCAATATCAGAACCAAAGAAATCTTTTGGGAGGCGTTTCCTTTCTCCACTTCCAGCAGCTCCCGAACCAGCGCCAAATACCGGAGGAGAGAATAAAACCAAAAAAGGGAAAGGACATCATCACTAGCTCTGAAGCAAGCATCTCCTGTGCCATCCAGCAGTCCCCAAACATTCCATAGGCTGCTGCCACGCTTTAAAAAAATTACAAATATGTCACAACTGTGTATTGTCACACTGGCAGCTGAAGCCTGATAAGACACCAGGTCACCTCCTCTGTGTCACCTGTGCTCCCCTGCCAGGGTAGGACAGCAGCATTCCCAGGCACCCTGCACAATCCAGGCATTCTTTGCTTTACTATTGCCAGGTATCTTCCTGCCAGAGCAGATTATGCCACCTGTGACAGGCTTTCACTTAAAGGTTTCATAAGCTATATTTTTTTTTTTTGTTAATGCAGGAGAAAAATTAGAAAGAAGAAGGGAAAAAGTGCAAGAATGTAATTGTGGTTCTTGGGCTATTTTATATAATTTTTTTAATAACAGAATACATATATCATTTTACCTTTTTGCACTTTTCATGTGTATTTTTTATTTATCTATATATTTTTAGCTGACCTGTTTAACGGAGAAAAAAAATTCCAGAGTTGGAGGGAAAAATTATAATTGCGTATATATATATATATGTGTATATATATATATAAAATATATATATACCTACATATATGTATAATGCAGCATAATTTGAGACCAAATCTACAACTCAAATTTTTCCCTTAAATAGTTTTTCAGGTTGAAATCTTACCTCTGCTCCATCTGTGGGTCACAGTGGCATAAGCACTGCAATAGAACAGCAGCAGCACCAGAGTCTTCCAAAGCATCCTTCTCTTTAAAATACGTATGTCTAGCTGTACAGTAGCTTTTTTTTTATTTTCCCAGCTCCTTTCTTTTCAGGAATAAATGATGGCTTTTCCTCTCCCCCTCCCCCTTTGCAGAAGAACCTGCCTGTTCTTCTGAGTGGAGCTGAAGTCAGCGCACAGCTCCTCTCCCAAACCAAGTCTCCTCGGGATCAGGAAACTTACTTTCACAGACAGACTTTGTTTTTATCCACATCTGGAATGACTCATAGTGCATGTGAGTTTGCTGGCAGCTGGGTGAATAAATATCATTACATTTTTGCAGTTGAGTTTCATTTGTTATATGGGCCAGTTGGAATTTATTTTCGTCCAATAAACAGCCACAAGAAGCTTCATTAAAAGGGACTCTGGAATTGTAGCTACTCCTCTGTGACACAGGGGGCTTCACACTCACTAACCCCTGTCCCAGGCCAATCCCTCCCCTGGAATGATGGACAGCTGCCCTCAGACACTGCAGTCAGGGAGTGGGGCATGAGCTCTGCAAGAACATTTTGCTACTGTGATTCACATAATCACTCCTTTATTAAGAACATACCATGCTGCCTTTAGATTTCAGTTCTAGGCAAGACAGCTCCTGGCATTTTCCTCCATTTGGCCACTATGGATGACAGAAAGGTCCAAATCTTTAACTGTCTCTCCCCAGTGGAACTTTGAGGAACACTGAACAACCCTAAGGACAGGCTACATCAGCCAGGCTGAATGCCTTCACATTCAGCTGAGAAAAATAAAGGCTGAAGCTGAGAAAAATAAAAGGCTACTGATAGACATCTCCTGGCTGATGTTGGTGCCAAGGAACACAACTCTGGGAGGGTCTATCCCAGGCTGACTCAGCATGGAGGAAGCTGCAGGTATCTGCTGTCCCTGACACAGCTCCAGCAGCATCATGGGGTGCATTTTGGGAATACAGCACCAAAATAACAGCAGGCTGAGGTGTGTTGGAACAAACTGATGAAAAATAGGAATACAAGGAGTATTTACAAAACCAAGGGGTAGGGGATACTCCATTTGGTACCTAGAAGTGATGAGTCTAATTCTCTTTTTTTATGGGTGAGAGTAAGTCAGCAACAAATCCACAGGCATCCATGAATTTATGCCGGTGTAAAACTGGCACATAAGAAAGGAGACTGCAGCTCAGAAGGTATAAATAGAAGGATTAAGGGAAAGGATCAAGAGCTGGAATGACAGAGGGCACTGTGGCTCAGGATTAATGTGCACTGGCAGGAAGGCATGGAGAAAACCTGTTAAACTCCTGTGTGCCTGATGCCAACATCTGGCCTTAGCCTCAGTCCCCTCATTCCTGCCTGTCCCAGCTGAAACACCAACTGTAGAGGAAGGAGGAGGGTCAAATGAGGTTGTCTTGCTCAAGGCAGTTCCACTTCTTTTCCTACATGCACAGATTTTCCTATGCTCAGACTGCCCCAGGTTACTCCCACATGAACAGCACATGAATGCAGGACAGTATTTTACATGCCAGGGAGATGACAAAAGGGGCAATTCAAGTGGAGGGTGGCTCAGCAGCTCTCTCTATGTACACTGCTGTTACCATGGCATATGAGGGGTGGGTCTGAATGCAGGGTTAAATTTAGGTGTGGGCTCACTCCTGTGTCTGTCCAGAAATTACAGAGCTGGAGGAAACTGAGCTCTGTCTTCCCTAGAGAGGGGGAGAGAGAAAGAGAAAGGATTATTTGTACTTTATTCAGGTCATTTAGGATAGGATGAGTTGTTCTTTAAGGAGGTAGACTCAGCCATCAGCTTGCCCAGTTCTGAGGTGATGTGTATCATCTTTTCATAAAAGATGTCACAGACATCTTTTATGAAAAATCCTTTCCTTAGGATTTTTCCTCCTTAGAAGCTGAGGCCTCAGGAACAAAATGCAAACAATGATTATCTGCTGCTGTGGAATGCAACAGGTGCATCTGTGATTGGTCTCATGTGGTTGTTTCTAATTAATGGCCAACCACAGCCCAGCTGTCTGGACTGTCTGTCCGAGACAGAAGCTTTTGTTATCATTCTTTCCTATTCTATTCTTAGCCAGCCTTCTGATGAAATCCTTTCTTCTATTCTTTTAGTATAGTTCTAATATAATATATATCATAAAATAATAAATTAGCCTTCTGAAACATGGAGTCAGATCCTTGTCTCTTCCCTTATCCTAAGACCCCTGTGAACACGGTCACAGGATGATCTTGATGCCAGTATGGTCTGGGAACAAGGTGTTTCAAAGTCAGGTAACCAAGGGAGGCACACTGCAGGCTTGAGAAAAGGAAGAAAATTATGAGAGAACCTAAAATCCTGTGGGGTGACAAAGGAACATCTTTACAGCATTATTTGGAGTGTGGATGGAAACTTCTGAGGTGCTGTATCATGTAATTTCTTACATTTAAGGTAACAACAGCTGATAAAAGAGGATTAAGGGGGTCAGAAAGGCTGTATCCCCCTTAAACCAGAATCAGAGCCCTGCTCTAGAGAGAGCCCTTTGGAATGGCTCTCTCTTCTGGCTGGCAGCAATCGGACACTTGCCCTGTTTTTTAATTGTCACTGCTTTATGTATGCAGCCTAGAAAGGTTGAGAAGAGTCCCAGGAATTTCCTTGCCTGATTTCCCCCCTACTTCCAGCCCCTGGAGCAAGGATCCTGGGAGCAATGGAGGAGCTGCAGCTGAGACAGAAGAGGTGTCTGGTAAAACAGACATATAGATCAAAGGGACATGAGAGTATGAAATTATTACTGAGCTCTCCTTTTCCACGCTCTGGAGATGTTGCTCTGAAGTTACATAATATATATATTTTTAATTGTTATTTATTTCTCCCTAATCTGAGTCTGGCTACAGAATCCTCCTCTCCAGCTGCCTCTTCCTCATCTGAGCTCAAACAATCTCTACCCACATCCCACCCAGCAGTGCAGTCTTCAGGCACTACAGCTTTGAGTGTCTCCCTGCATGTACCCCAAATTTCTCTGTAAGACTGTGAATGATGCTCTCACATCTGTTTTCTTACAGGAAATTCAGCAGCTGTAAATACAGGAGGCCCACAGAAAATAAAGAATGCTTTCTCTGTAGCACCTCCTCAAGAAGTGAAAATGTCCCTTCCTCCCCTCCTTAAAACTTTTAAATATTTTTCTCTCTTATATGGATATATACACACACACACACACAAAGAGTCCAAGCCTCCCTACTAAAAAACCCTCCAGAGGAAGCCAGGAAATAAATCTTTCAAGCATCCTCAAGGCACTTCAACTGTATAACTCCTATTCATCTCATGACTATATTTTATTAGATAGTTGCTCAATTTCAGCTCAAGGCAGTTCCTGTCTATGCTGGAGGTTTGAATCACTGCAACTATAATGAATGCTGAAGTAGGGTAGAAATCCTTGCTATTTATAAATATTAACCATTGCTTTGGAAGTATGAACAGGGGAGGTTTAGAGTGCAGAATTCATCCTGAAGATGCGCCCAGAAGGAGAAGGTGCCATGTGCCGCAGCCAGGAGGCTCAGGGCTGGTGCCTGGACAATATTTGGGTTTTTAATCAGTGTAGTGCTAGACTTCAGTGTCACAGTTATGTAAGGTGAATATTTGTGTTTTACCAAGTCTCACAAATTCAGGTGTTGGGTCTGCAAGTCCTCTGGTGCTCCCAGTACCTGTGAGACCTCTCAGGCCCAGGGAAGGTGTGACTGCTGCCCCTGGCAGCCTTTTTGAGGTGAAAATGGACATTTCTGTAACTGCAATGACCAGATACTAACTAGCAAATATTCCATTTGAGTCCTGCATCCTGATGCTGTCAGTGACTGTCTGTCACTGTTGCTCCCACACAGTCCTTTGGAAAAATCTGGAAATAGGGCAGGGTGGAAAGGAGTGCATAAAGAGCCAACAGGGAGCTGTCAGCTGCACTTTGCAGCACAGGAAAGGGGAGAGCAGGGCTTGTGGTGGTACTCCAAAGCTTTCTTCCCATCACAGATGCCATCAGGGTGGAAAACCAATTTCAGCCAGCTGGATACACAGAAATCCTGAATTTCCCAGGAGATGCTCTGGAGTGACCAGTGTATCAAGTGGGGTGTCCCTTGTGTTCTTTTTAGTGGCTCATGGTGTGAAATAACATAATCTAAAAAGTGACTGGAAGGGGAAGCAAGGCAATGGGTGATCAGGAGCCTGTGGGTCTCCCAAGGAAAATAATCTCTGTTTCCCTGGAGAATACCAGCTCATGCTACCAGCTCTGGCTCTGGTGAGCTTCTCCCAAACCCAAGGCAGGATTGCAGCCTGCCCTGACACCCCTGTAAGTGTCCCTTGCAAATCTTCTGTCAAACAGACAGATTATTTTTTTAAAGATGTTTCAATAGGAAAACAGAGTGCATATGGAAAGTTCCTCTGAGCAAGAGTCTCTGCTCTGCAGCCAGAGCCCTGCCCTGTGCCATGGGCACTGCAGATCTGCCTGCCAGCAGGATGGAACAGACACAGACACTGCTGTCCTGCCCACCACAGGGATGGAGAAATGGAGACAGGCACCCAGAGTGACTCACCACACTGAAGGATCTGATGGTGGAGCTGGGGCAGACACTGAGAGCAGATCCATTCCTCTGCCCAAATTATAAAGGGCTGCCCTGACACTGCAGGAGCTCACACAGCATCACTGCCATCTGCCAAAGAGAGAAAGAGGAAAAGAAATACCCTCTTAACAAGGAGAACAAAGAGAGGGGAAAAAACAGCAGTGCACAAGCTCCTAGGAAAAGAAACTATCTTTTTAAACTAGACTACTGCCATTGGAACCCCATAGTCCATGGCCCCTCAGCAATAGTCATTCTGACATCCAAATTGTTGCTTGCAGCTTCCTGCAGCAACAATCTGGATGTCAGAATCCCACCAAGCCTCAGAGAAGCCAGGATGGACCTTGTATGACCACACAGTGCTATGAGTTGGAACTGGAAGGAACTTTAGGGCACCTTTCAGTTGTCCTTGTGGCCCAGAGCTCCCTT